ACTTAAAAATATTTCAAACTATCGTTGTTAACACATAAAAATAAAATATCCCTGTACATATTTAGATATTTAAGTTGCCTTGAAATGTTTCATTGGGTCACATTGTTGTTTTTAAAATGCTGGTTGAAACCTTTAAAAACAATTTGAATATTTATGTAATAAGTAAATCACAACTCAATAAACTCACATACCCTGTTTAGGTAAAATAATTATTATGCTACTGATTACTTTCAATGGAATATTCTCAACTTTTATTGAGAGGCTTTTATTTTGCTATAAAAAATAGACTTCAGAATCATTTCATAACTTATGGTATGAGCCTATTTTAGACCATTTCTTGATTAGAATAATGTTTCTTCAGCAGTACATTAAAATTTTTCCTTTTTAAAAGAAAATTTTTAAAAAGTAGATAAATCCAAATAAAATCTTGCCTATAGTTTGTACTTTTTGAAACTTTTTCTATAATTTAGAAATTACAATTTCAACCTTTTCTGGGAAAATTATAAGTGAAACTGTTAATCTCTTTAATTTTGATTAAAAACATCTCTTCATAATTTCCATAAAACATCCCTTCACTTTTCATAGTTTTTGATATCCATGCCTTTATTCCGCTGACATTTTTGCTTTTATTCCATTCCCCAGAATCTTCTTTATGACATAAATTTATTCCTTTTTTAAAAGAAATTGGACCACAGTTAAGATACATAGTTACAAAATTATTCATGATTGAGTTTCAGTCATATAATATTCAAACACCCGTCCTTTCACCAGTGTACATTTTCCACCACCAATGTCCCCAGTTTCCCTCCTGCCCAACCCCCTCCTGGCCTGTCTTTGTGGCAGGTGTTTTTCTTCTCTCTCTCTCTCTCTCTCTCTCTCTCTCTCTCTCTCTCTCTCTCTCTCTTCTCTCTTCCCTCCTCCCCCCATCTCTCTCTCTACCCTTTTGGGTGTTATGGTTTGCAATTCAGGTACTGAAAGGTTATCATGTATATTTCTTTACTTACTTTTCAATCTTCAGTTCTTGTCCAGAGTGAACATTTCTAACTATTATTGTATGACAAAATTAAGCGTGATTTTTATCCTGCCAAGAAGAAATATTTCACTTACCCTTACCAGGAGACTTCTCAGGAAGGAGAAGTTGCTAGAGCATCACTCAGGCATATATGGGATACCTAGCTTTCTGCCTAGAACCTCAGGCTTCTTCTGATTGGTTAGAATCTTCTTGGAAAGATATAACTGAGCAACGATTGGCCTGAAACTATTCAGTGAGCCCCACCCTGTTAGTAGCCCTGAGGAACCTTAAGTCCTATGTCAACTAGTAACTAGTAGTAAAACATTAATCCTTTTAGAGTGGAATTAAAGTTTCTTTAATTCATAAGGGGAGTTGAATTGCTCAAGAGCAATCAACCAACAAAATACGGGCAATGAGTGCCCCAGTTGTTCGAGCCTAAAAATTGTGCCTGTTATCTTATAGCACTAATTTCCTCATAACCTCCTATTAACTAGCACAGCAGCAAAATAGAGGCCCCCAGAGACAGTTTTGTATTTTGTAACTAGAAAATTGTATTTGAGATGATTTTATCTTGCATATAGTAGATATTTCCTGAACTCTCTTTTGTTTGTACAGATTGTGAGTGGAATCAATGGCTTATTGAAAATATTTCTACCTAGTGGGAAAACATTTCAGCAGTATCAATCAAACTGCTCTGGGTAAGTTTCCCAGCAGTACTGTTAAAGGACATTTTTATCTTCCCTTCAAAGAGTGTTTTTGTGAGACCTGTTTTAGCCTTATGTAGAGGGAGAAAGTTGTTTCTCAAATGTGAAATGGTGAGGACTAAGTAGCACCAGTAAGACAAGCAAATTCCTTTGATCCTGTTCTGTCCTTGATTTTCAATTGGGTTGACTGAATTCATCTTTGTCCTTTCAGTTCCTTTTGCTTGCTTTTCAGTTGCTGAGAAGCACATTTATGATGGAATATAGTAGTTAAGAGCAAATGCCTGGAGTCAGATCCCTCCACTCAACGCCACAGTCCTACCATGTCCTATCTCTGTGAGCTCTAGCAAGCTACTCAAATTCTCTGCATCTTAATGAAGTTGTGGGTAACACAGGTACCTATCTTGTTGCAGAGTGGACTCAAAGATTAAGTGAGTTCATTTGTGTCTGGCATTTAGAGCAGCACAGATTGTTATCTAGCACTTGCTTTTGCTCTTTCAGAACTTTTTATAATTAATTGGTGACAAGATTTGGATGGAGTGGGGGAACAATTATTAGGAATTAGGATTGATACTATTCTTATTAATATAGGGAGAAAAAGATGTTGGAAAACAGATACTAGATTAGAAAAGATGTAAGTTCCCATAAAAATCCTTAAGATGCTCTTAGTTGGGTAGATCATGGAGTCATTTAGGAAAATACCCTGTGGCTCACTTAGAAATAGTGACAGAGTTACAAGTAAATACCCATTACTCACTTTTTTAGTATTAGGATGCATTTGTTCCACAAAGGGTTCTTTATTTGCCATGTGAGTTTTCAGCATAAGAATTAGTCACATCTCAGATTCAGATGGAGGGCAAGTTGTTTAAATCTAGGAAGCTGGCAGCCAAAACAAGTTTTAGTCGTTGACCTTGGACCTTCCCTGCAATTGCTCCCTCAAATCTACCTCACTGCAGAAGACCACATTTCTTTAACCTTCTTTCATTGTCAAAGACTGTGACTACCTCTGATAGCAGTTAATTTCTTTTCCTTGAGGCCTGACTACCAAATGGTGTACGTTAAAAGTCTTGGTCTTATATCAACCAGACATTTTCATTCTGTGTCTCTTTTCTTGACCTGGGAGATGAAAGTCATTATTCTCTACTACAGGGATTCAGTCTTTCAGGGACAAATGGGAGATGTTTGGGAGGGAGCTATGGGTGAAATTACAGCATCCATAAAGCCAAACTTGAAAGGTAATTTTAATTCAGCTCTTTCAGACAGGATATATAAGGGAAAGGGGGAACTGTAAAGAACATGCTTTTCTGTTTTCCTCCTGTTCTTACTGACACTGGAGCGATAGCACAGCGGGTAGGGCGTTAGCCTTACAAGCGGCCAACATGGCCAACCCGAGTTGGATTCCTCCGCCCCTCTCGGAGAGCCCGGCAAGCTACCGAGAGTATTCGATATGCCAGACACAGTAACAACAAAGTCTCCAATGGAGACGTTACTGGGCCCGCTCGAGCAAATCGACGATCAACGGGAGGGCCTTTACCTTTACCTTACTGACACAACTCTTGGGAAGAGGCAACTAGATGATGATCAACCTATAACACTAGGCACTTGTTATGATCTCATGGAAGTTCTGTGTTGCAGTCAAACTGTGATCAGCATGTATATATTTTCATATTGTTTTATTTTGGTTCTGAAAATATAGATATGGACTTCTTTTTTCCATTGTTATATCACACTATCCTAATCCCCAAACCAATTTCACACAATAGGTATGAATAACTGTTATGGATGAAATCACTGTATGTTAAAAGAACTTCTCTGGTGAGATTAGGGATAATATCATGGTAATGTTGAAGATATCTAAAAAGTTTGTAAAATAATAATTCATAAGTTTTTATCTTCTGGTTTTGTGCGGGGAGGGCTTTTATGTTCAAGTAACATTAGACCTTGTTGTATTCTAATCACAGAGATGAAGAGTCTTGATGGATCTTGTCTGGAAGATGAATGGAGCATATGGTAATTAACATATATTTTGGTTACTTTAAAAGTTTTGCTTATGAAGGAGGTGCATAGTGTCATGGAATATACATCATTCTGATGTCCAGTTGAGTGTGGCTCCAGTGCGGTGCTCTTGGACCAAATTACTAAATGGATATCAGATGATCCAAGCCTGCATTCCTCTACCTACTAAGATCCTAAGAATATCCTGAAGTCAGAGAGAGAACAAAGGGGAATGCCCTGCCACAGAGGCAGGGTGGGAGGGGGGGGGTGGGGGGGATATTATCCATGGTGGTGGAAAATGGGCACTGGTGGAGGGATGGGTATTTGATCATTGTATGACCAAAACCCAAGCACAAAGATTTGTAAATCTACAACTGTACCTCATGGTGCTTCACTAATAAAAAAAAATGTCCTGAAGTCAAACCACAGGATATTTATACGCAAGGAATCTTTAGTTTACTGCATAGTCATTCTCTAGAGTGATAATATTGGGACATGAGATAATCTCCACTGCATAGTTCTATTCCTGGAAGAGAAAAAAAAAACCTGCTCTTTTTGTTGCTGGTAATGTACAGAGTCATTCAACTTAAAAAAAATACTAATTATAGGAAGTGAGTAAGAGAGAGTATCAGTAAAAAATCAAATTCTGCGTTTCAATCCAATATAAGGACTTTTACTAGAAGATATTCTAGAAGAAGATTTAGACAACTGAGATCATTGTGAAATGCATGTGCTTTAGGGTCTACAGCAATGAATATCTGGGTTATCTGTGGATGAGATGTTTTTTTCACTTGTGACCATATCTGGCCAGTGACTTTTCATAGGAAAAGCCATTTCCATTTATTCACTGATCTGTGGGTCTTTTATGTCTTAAATACCTAATTTCAGTAGAGGCAGTTAGAATTAGGAATGTGGGGAAAATGTCTGAACATTGAACTGAAAATGTCTGAAGGACAGAAAAGAGCAGGAAGAATACAACATAGCTCATTTACAAAAAAGTGAAAGCAGAGATTCAAAGCAGATGTTAGAGATTATAATAAAGGTGCTACATATGGTTGGAGCAGACCTTATTCTCTCATCTGTAGGAATCTTGATGTAGGAACAAAGGAAAATGAAGAATGCCAGCAATAGTTTATTACTTATACAGTGCAACATGGCAAATGGTGACTGAATCAACCACACACATTTTTTGAATTCATTGAATAAAGCAAGCCTCTCTCCAGCGCACTCAAGGTCATTGTCATTCATTCCACCATGTGTCCCAGTGGTATAGCCCTAAAAAAATGATAAAGCTTGTGCTCTCAGGCAAGTGCATATTCAAATGTCCCTTTATCAAATTCTTCAACTTCATCTTCCCATGTAGAAGAAGGCATGCTGCTATAAGGATCAAGCAAGATTTTGAAGCATCGAATAATAAGAAGTCCCAGGAAGATACACAAAATCCCCACAAAAGCAAAACCAGTTTTTTGTTCCAGAGTCAATGAGAAAGCTGATACTTCGTTGACACTCATCTTAGCTGAAGAGTTGCCACAGTAGGGACTATTCATTATTCTCTGTCACATCCTTGTGACCCTTTAGAAATCTTGCTGGAGTCACCTCTTGGCCTGGAAACAAAATTAGATTCCATTTAGTTTTTCCTGTGTATGATATCGATCAGGTAATAGGTTATGAAAGCTGGCATTTTTCAAAACCTCATCATTTAATTCGCAAAAGCTGTTGGAACACATCATCATGTATGGATGTGAAGAAAATTAGTGTTGGAGATGCTACCTCTACTATAGTAATTACAAAATTGTCCATCCTGGACAAATTTGACTGTGCTGTGGATTATAAATGTAAATTCAAGTAGGAAAATCAGCATTCAGAGGACACCAAAAGATGATTAAGTCCTTGGTTCTTTGACTTGGATTTTCATCTATTTACATTTCATTTTGAAATGTATAGATAGTCATAAATACTCATGTTTAAGGTCTATCACCATTGCCCTTTGTCTAAAAATTATGACCTTTATAAATATGTCCCTTCTCCACTCCCCCTGTTTCATATTTATGTACCTGTATTTTCTTTTGCACTCCCACTTCATAAACTAAATGTTAAGGTGTGTGTATGTGTTGCATTTTTAACAATTTCATCAGTAAGAGAAGTACCCAACATAGTCGCTAACAAGTAACAAACAATCATAGTTGTGGGCCATTAACCAACTCACTATCATTGCTACTAACTCTCAAAACACGCTCAGTAAACAGAAGATTCAAGTTAAGCAGCATGTTCTCTACATAATTCCAGTTGCAAGGTAAATTCCCCAGTCCCTTTTATCTAAATTTCTACTCCAAAATTTATAATGTATTGAAATTCCAAAGCCCAACAATGCATTTAGGAATTATAATGTTGAATGGAAGCAAAAACAGACACTTGGTGTCTTACTGTTCGGATGTGGCGAGAAAGGGACCCTCCTTCACTGCTGATGGGAATGCCGACTGGTTCAGCCCTTTTGGAAAATAGTATGGACGATTCTCAAAAAATTAGAAATTGAGCTCCCATTTGACCCAGCAATACCACTCCTGGGAATATATCCCAGAGAGGCAAAAAAGTATAGTCGAAGTGACATCTGCACTTGTTTGTTCATTGCAGCACTCTTTACAATAGTCAGAATCTGGAAATAACCTGAGTGCCCCAGAACAGATGACTGGTTAAAGAGACTTTGGTACATTTACACAATGGAATACTATGTAGCCGTTAGAAAAGTTGAAGTCATGAAATTTACATACAAGTGGTACTATATGGAAAGTATCATGTTAAGCAAAATGAGTCAGAAAGAGCGGGATAGACACAGAAAGATTGCATTCATCTGGGGAACATAAAGCAACAAAATGAGAGACTAAGGTCCAGGAGTAGCTGAGAATAGTACCAGGAATTTTGCTCCATGACTTGGAGGCCAGCCACACGTGCTAGGGGAAAAGGAAGCTCAGATAGAGAAGAGAGCACCAAATAAAGGGTGTTGTGAGGATCCTCCCAGGGTGGGAGAAGCATGCTGAAAGTAGACTATAGACCAAACATGACTGCCACTCAATGCCTCTCTTGCAAAACACAGGACCCAAAAGAAGAGAGAGAGAACAAGGGGGAATGCCCTGCCACAGAGGCAGGGTGGATGGGGGGGTGGGGGTGGGAGGGATGCTGGGACCCGTGGTGGTGGAGGATGGGTGCTGGTGGAGGGATGGGTACTTGATCATTGTATAATTGAAACCCAAGCACAAAAATTTGTAAGACCATAACTGTACCTCATGGTGTTTCACTAATAAAATTTTTTTAAAAAATTCCTAAAATTTAGAATCAATGAATTAAATCAAATGATCACTAAACCACAGCCAACATTTTTGAGAAGAATGTCCTCAAATAGCTTGCCATTTGATAATTACTAATTATATGCTTTTGGTATTTTTTTGTTCCTTCTGATAATTTGAAGAAATGTATTTGTCAAGATGACTGATTTAGACTTTGGCAGGTGAGAGGAGCATACCTGGTGGTTCTCAGGACTTACTCTTGGCTCTGCAACTCAGACATCACTCCTGGTGGGGCTCAGGGACCACTGGAAGTATTGGGTATCCAACCTACTTGGTCAGATGCAAGGCAAATGCCCTCCCCATTGTATTATCTCTCCAGTTCAAAATACTTTAGACTTTTTAAATTTTCTAACTTTTGGCAAAAGAGAGAACAGGAATGAGCAGTAAAGAGTGGAAAAAGGAAGAAATTAAAAAGAATACGATTTTTTGCTTTCAAAATTGTTTGCCACTGACACAACATGCAATATCAAACAACATTTTTTTTCATGATGGGATTATGAGTTCTATCTCTAAACCCTAAGTTACATAAATATTCCATTTTCTCATATATGATGTATATTTGACATTTTTGCTTAATAAAGAAAAATGTATTCCTTTAAACCCTGTTGAACTTCCACCACTTTATTTTTTCTGCCTCATTAAGTATGGTATAGTGAAAATATTTTATTATTTCTTTAAATTTTAGTATTACTTAAAGTAGCTCAGAACATTTTTAAAGATTGTGTTTTCATGTTATTTGTCCTGTTGAAGGCATAGGAAATTGGACTAAAATGTTTACTTACTTTAGAACTTTAAGACTTTCTAATATTATTATTTTCATCAATTACAAAATTTTTAAACATTTTTTGGTAATTACCAGCAGTACTCAGGATTAAACTTGGCTGTGCTCTCAAAAATCACTCCTGGCAGGCATGGGGTACTATGTGGGATGTTAGGGATAGGATCCAGTTGGCACATTTAAGGCAAGCCCCCCACCCACTGAACTATCTCTCTGGAACAAAAACTATTTGGTCGAGATCTATATACATTCTGATTCTCTGTTGGATGGATGGAGAAACTGCAAAAGATAAAAAAGATAAACAAAACAAAACAAAATAAAAAAATCCAACCAACCAGGATGTTTCTAAATAGAGATGCTGTATTAAACATTTGTCATATAACTGACATGCCGAGTCGTGACATTGATTCAGCCAAATCCCCTGCTGGATTTTTTTTCTGCCCTTCCTCAGAACCATAACCCTGCTGGGCAGTAACATTTGAATATTTCAGGAAACCTGTGGCTAAGAGAAGACAATAAACCTGATTTATTGGTGGACACTGTGCTGTGCTCCACAGATTCTCATCAATGAAGGACTTGTTGCCCAGTAGCTGGGAGTGCTGCCAACCAACAGGCTTCATTTGTTCTTGCCCTTCACGGATTCCTTACCATCAGAGAGCTGCCTCAGTCCAGGAAACAGCCCCCTCACAGGGCAGAGGTTTTCAGTGACAGCCAGGGCCATCTTGACTGGAATGGATACAGCTCTGAACTGTTTTGAAACTCTGAAACTATGGGAGCTCTAAGGTTCCCAGGGGTAAACTGAAGCTTTTGAACTCACACCTCAGCTCAAATTCTGCCCAATTATTCTTCCTCCTCCATTTGTGGTGAGCTCAACACAATAAAAGCTCTGCACACTGAAGTCTGGCTCATAGTTTCTCAGGAATTCAACAGTTGCTGTCACAGAATTTAAAAAACAAAATAAATAAACAAAACTGGAACAGTTTTAATGACCTGTCTTTTCTTTTTCTTTTTCTTTTTCTTCCCCCAAATAGCTCATATTGCCACCATGTAGAAATAGCCTGAACTGATTTAGTTAAAATAGTAGTTTAATTTATTTAGATGTTTTAAAAGTTACAATGATGGCAATGGCACAGTCATGGGATTGCATATAACTGGTCCTTCCAGAATGTGTCTGTGGGTTCGTGGCCAACACATAATCTACTGCACTCTGCTATTCTTATTCAAAACCATCAGCTGACCAAATACAGAAACAAATTTCCTGGGTGTAGAAATAAGGCACAATACTTCCCCCCCCCCATTAAATTGAAATAAGTTATCTTAAAAGAAATGTAAAACTTCTTATATTACAATTTGTCTAACAGATACAAAGTCATCTTTTCTTATTATAGACTAGCTATTAATGAGTCACTTATTACTTTAAATGGAAAAACACCCACTCTTTTCTTTAAAATATTTTGAATTATAGTTTAGGTGGGGCTGGAGCAATAGCACAGCGGGTAGGGCATTGGCCTTACACACGGCCAACTGGGGTTCGATTCCCAGCATCTCATATGGTCCCCTCAGCAACGCCAGGGGTAATTCCTGAGTGCTGAGCCAAGAGTAGCCCCCGTGCATCACCAGGTATGATCAAAAGAGCAAAAAAATTTATAGTTTAGGTAATATGGCTATAATGTTTAAATTTGTAGTATTGATGCAAAAATTACTGTAATCCCTCACCCCAAAATTTCCACAACCCTCCTCCAGTGTCCTGGAACCTTTGTTTCAACCTTCACTTTCTCCTTACAAATCTTTTCACTGTGTAATTCAACACCAAGGGTTTGCAACTGTTCAATGCTGGATTCCCTATTTTGTCTCTCTGTATACCACAGATGGGTCAGATCATCTGGTATTTGCTCTCCCTCTGATTTATTTCATTGTAACATGTTTTGCAGTCCCATCCATATTTCCCCAAACCGCATGATTCAATTTTTTCTTAGAGCTGTATTATATCTCATTGGAAAAACACCTTCTTTCAAGCAGTTACCATAGTTCCATATTATAGGGTAGCACTGCTGCACTGTCCTCCCGTTGTTTGTCAATTTGCTGAGCGGGCCCAGTAACGTCTCCGTTGTGAGACTTGTTGTTAATGTGTTTGGCATATGGAGATACTCTCGGTAGCTTGCCTGGCTCTCCGAGAGGGATGGAGGAATCGAACCCAGTTCAGCCGGGCCGGCCACATGCAAGGCAAACACCCTACCACTGTGCTATCTGTCTGCGACATCTGTCACCCTATTGATCTCCAGGGTTGATTCGGCTGAGCTGGCTGGCTAGGGGGGTGTCCCCTTCCTCCCTCACCACTCCATGTGCATCCCTTCTGAAGCTGTGCACTTAGTCTAAGAGAACAGCCTTCCCTGAAAAGAGACTGACTGGACCGGTCTTCGGTTGAGGGTATATATACGACTATCTACGCTCCCCTGCTAGAACCTCCAAACAAGCTCTCGAGGTC